GGAAGGAGCATCACCAGGAGCTTCAGTGTCGTCCTGGTGACACTTTTTGGTTTTTTATGCTGCACACAGAACACACAGAACTGTAAGAAGAGTTAAGGTGCATAAAAGAGGAGTGGGCGAAGTGGAGGGGGGTGGAGAGGAGCAGCCGTAACTTGGCTGCTGGCTTGAGGTTCTTTAGGTGGAATGCAGCCGCGTGTCCAAAAATCTCTGCAAACAGAGATACAGTTGCACATGGCACTTGCACCGTGTTGCACCGTTGCAAGCTGGTTTCATTGCCTCCGAATGTAGACTGCATATTAAATCTATGTGTGGGTGCAGGATGCAGAGCATCATAACCCCTCGAATCTGCTTGAAATTTATGCACTTGTGGGATTTTTATATTGCACTTGCATTCTCGCTCTACCTCCCTCCCTCTCTCTGGCTCAGCATTTGCCATGGTTTTTTTTTTTTTCTTAGTTTTATATTCAGTTTTTGTTGGTCGCATAAAAATTATGTGGCACCTTGATATATGAATATGTTTGCTCTACATTCATAAGATTTATTTAAGCCAGGTCGCATACAGATAAAAAGAGCTGTAGAAAAGTGGTGTGGTGAGGTGAGCTGGGTGGGTTGGAGCGAGCACAAGAGGCAAAGATTAAATGGTTTTGATTAAGATTGGCAGAGATTAAATGGAGCCAAGCCCAGCATATAGATTACAGATTACACTCAAGTTTATGGAGTTTCTATAGAAATTTTGCAAGAGTGTTTTTTGCTCTGGTGCATCTTTGGAATATTTGCTAAAATTAAATACACTAAATAATAAATATTATTCCGTAAAGAGCGAATAATATCTAAGGGAAGACTCTTCAAGCAACCTAAAACTCAGAGGGTCAAAAAGCCTCTTCTTACTGCTCCTCCTTGGCATCTCATTTAATCCTTCTCTGCATCGCCATAATTCTCCCTTTTAAATATAATTCCTTATGATAAATAAACTCCTCCGAAAATCGTTACTTTCCTTTGTTCCCTGCCCACAGAAATTCGATAAGTCAATGCCGCGCTGTCCCGAAGCCTCTTTAATAACTTGTGGCCGACACTGGGTGGCGATTGCTCTGGCAATTGCTTGACCCACATTGCACCATAAACAATGAAATGAAATGCATTAAAATTACGCATATATATTTGTGCAGCCATATGTGCAACATATGCGGCACACACTGAAAACGGAGAAGGACAAACGAAGGACAGAGACAGAGAAGGAAAGTAAAGTAAAACAAGGAGAAAATTCTGTTTCAGCTGTTGAAAATTTAAACAAATTTTTGCACATTTCCTGTTTGCCATTGTTGTTGCACTTGCAGCTTGACACAGTTTTCACAGTCACACCCATTTATTTACAATGTCAATGTACGAGAAGAAGAAGCGACTCTGAAAGAGAGCAAAAAACCATTTCGAGAAGGACCTTCCAGGGCACAGGCACAGGCCCAGGCACAGGCCTTGTTGTCGCTGGCTCGCATGAGCCACGGAGCTATGCAATTTGCATGCAATTTTACCAGTGAAAACAGACAGAGAGAGAGACAGAGAGACAGAGAGAATGATGGTGCAGAGGTAGAGCCTTAATGAGAGAAGCCTTAACCAGAGGGATGGTGTAGGATGTGTATAGTGATTGGATTCACGCCTGCTGACCTTGTCAGGGAACCTTGAACTGTGCCACACAATGGACCCAAAAGACAGGCGACAGACCAGGCCCACAGTGCCACAGTGCCACAGTCCCCCCAATTCCCAGTACCCCCAAATCAATGCCAGAGTACGCCCCTTTGGTGTCGCTTCTAACCGAGTAATTTCTGTGGCTAATTAGACCACATTTCTGGTGTGGGATGGGAATGGGAATGAGAATGTCAGGGGTTGGGCATGCCATTGAATGCCACTGGATACCACTGGATACCATTGGAATCTATTGGCTGACCATTCGAAATGGAGACTCTAAATGGTAATTGTATTAATTTCTACTCTGCTCAAGTCTTAAGTTTCTCTCGCAGTTTTGTACCTTCTTCTTTTTTTTTGTCAGTAGCTTAAGTTTTATTTGATTTTAATTTCCGTTTTTGTGGCTTGCGGGGGAAATTGTAGGGGGGGCGGGACGTCTTGAGGTGCCACACACTTCGATTAGCTTTACTTTTGATTTCTTTCCTTTGGGTGTGTTGCCTTTACGTGCGGTATTTTTGTCCTTTTTGTGTGCCGAAAAACCACATGGCGTGTGTGTGTGCGTGAAAATTGAAATGTCACCAGTTCAGTTCCGAGTCGAGTCTTGTACTGGGGTTTCCCCTCTGGATAAACCTGCTTCGGGGCTGGCTCTGCTCTGCTCTGCACTCTGTGCAGGGAATGGCGTGTTTCGTTTTTTCTGCTTGTCTGCCGCTGACAGTCATTGACAGCGCTGAACGGGCGACAGTCCACAGAGGGGCTGGTGAGGGGAAGGGGGCGCATGCAGCGTTGCATGGAAGCAATGTTGCATGCCAGTCTGCACTTAATGCTGACTCAACGCAATATAAGTTCTTATTTGCAGAGGCGACTTGGGTCAGAGCCCCCAGACCCCAGACCCCACCAGACCCAAGACTCAGTCAGAGGTTGCCATTTCTTTGAACCATTTTTGGTACCCTACATGGGTCATAGCTGACTTTTGGCTAAAACCGAAATTCAAGCAGAACCCTCCAGAAGTTAAATTAAATTTATTTACACGTAATTATTTTTCCAATGATTTGCCAGCATTCATTTTCTTAGGGGGACTTTCCGCTTTTCAGCTTAGAGAATTCGTTGTGGCCGAACCACAACATATTTTAGGATTTTTGTTAAGCAAGCCACTTGCATTAGTCTACCCCTGCAGGCATCCTACCCCCCCAACCCGCCAACCCACCACCCGTCCACCATCTTTCTTCGCTGACTTTCACATTTTCTACTGCTTTTTAGCACAAATCCTTTTATTCCTTTGCTTTGAGAGTTTAAAAGCGTTTTCGACAGGATTTAGTTGCATGACTTTTTGCTTTTAGCATTTCGACCGACAAACGTCAAAGCTGAACTAGCTCCCCCCAACCCCGCTATGTACCACTGCAGGGGGGGTGTAGTGTATGTGGATTTCGGTTGGCAGCTTCTCCTCGATTCCATTCCCATGGACCAGACACGTACCCCTGTGGCTGGACGTGCACGGCATTTCCAAATACAAATACTCAACATGGCCGCATTTTTTAACAGCCTCCCCCCACACACCACACTCCCCACAGCACACACCTCCCACCATCTAGCCTGAATGTAGTTTCTATAAATTGTGTTTTAGTTTCGCTTTTTTGTGGCAGTGTGTGTGTGTTTTTTTTTTCTGTGCAGTTCTGCTGTTTCGAAATATTTTGGATTTGTAACAATTTGTTTGGTAGCAAAGATTTTTTAGCCTAAATGGAAACTATTTTGTTTGCAAAACATTTCTGGCATAAATAGTTTGCCAAATAAAATGTTTGATTCTTTGTGTGGATAATGGAAAGTGCTTTAAAAACAGAAAGTGTTTCCTAAAAATTATACAATTATACAAATAAACTATATATTATATTATATATAATATAATATAATATAATATAATATAATATAATATAATATAATATAATATAATATAATATAATATAATATAATATAATATAATATAATATAATATAATATAATATAATATAATATAATATAATATAATATAATAACTCTAAATCTCTTTTTTTCTATTTTCTGTAATTTTGGATAAATACAAATTGTCGCTTTAATTTCCCTAATATTTCCCCATGGAAAATTATATTTATACAGTTTAGTCATAAGTTTTTTGCTTTAACGCCATGTTCGGTTGAGAGTTCCCAAGACATGTTGACACTTGCCACCAAAAGCAAAGTAACCCACTTTCAAAAGCGCCAAAGAAAAGAGAAAGGCACAGTGCCAGAAGTAGACAGAGAGAGAGAAAGAGAGAGAGAATGACTGGGTGCAAAAGAGATCTCCCGCCCGCCCCGTCCATTTGGTGGCCTTTGTTTGCGGTGAAACTTTTTCTGCTGCAGCTTTTGTTAATTCGGTCAATATTTGCGGACGCACGAAATAAAAACGAAAACTCAGCGAAAAAAAAAAACTTTTGGCCAAAGAACAACACACAAAAAAAAAAGAAGAAGAAAAACAAAAAAAGAAATAGAGAATTTCCTATTTAACCCCTTAATGGTAGTTGGGTTTAAGTTTTGCGCCCTCTGTTAAAATAAACTTATTGACATAGACAGGGAGGGGAGCAACAGTTGAAGTTGCAGTGTTGTCCAGTCCACCTGGATACACGGTGCATTATTCATGGAAAACGTAAATTTGGTTACGCGTATTTCATTAAGGTAAAGCCCTCCCCCCCACCATTCCAAAATCCCACAAGCCCCACTCTACGGGACGACTATCTGCGCCATAGTTTTTTCTCTCACATCCGCTGCCGCCGCAAGTGCTTTGAGTCTTTATGCAAATAGCTGAAAAAAAAACATAGAACATGTAAGCAACAGTGACTACAGAGGCCGAAACTGGGGATACTCTTTGATCTACTATAAATATATGCAGAACACGCATTAAAAGGTAGGAAAAATCACATGAAACTGTAGCTTCTAGAGCATTAGTTAAGTGATCTTCAGAAGTGCACTCAAAGACTTATTTTCCTACGCTACAATAGATGACATTGTTTCAATCTTAGAAGGTGAAAAATCTATGCAAAATTATTACAAGCAATATCTAAAATTGTTTCAAAAAACAAAAGCTTTTTTCCCCCTACTCTCAAAGTCCCCCCCGCAAGGGTATGTGAAAATAGAAAAATACCAGAATACCAAAGAAAAATATTCCCATTTGGTATGGAATTTTTTCATTCTAGGTGCAAATCTGCAATCTCCAGCTCCGCCTGCGTTCATCTCGCAGATCCTTGGTTTCCCCCCCTCAACTGCCATGTGGCAACCCCTTGAGCGTTAATTGCGATTCGAGTTGTTTATCCAACTTACCTCCTGTTTAGTTTAGCCTCACGCTCTAGTTCCAGTCTCCAGTCTGCAGTCTCCCTCTCTGCTTTTTCCCAGGATTCCTCACGGGCTAAGCCTGAAAGCAACAACAAGCGAAAGTTTTTTTTTCGGCGTTAGTTAAATTTGTTGAAAATTATTTGCTTTTCCTGTTGTTGATGATGGAGGGTGGGAATGGAGGGAGGGTACTGCTAGGCTAGGGATAGGAATAGGGTCCGGGGTGTGGTGTGGTGTCTGCTGGGGTCTGGGTCTGGGTCTGGTTGGGGAATATTCTTGGAGGAGCCTTAAGTTAATTAGTTGAATTTGTGTTGAAGAGTTTTTTCTGTGTGGTGCTGTGAGCTGTTGGGGGAATTTTTCCTAGTTTAATTTAGTGGATGCAAAAGTTCTGTCTGCAGAAGAGGAGGAAGGAGGTGCTGAGGAACTACTGCGAGAGGGTAGGCCGAGAGGGATTCGGTTAAATGAGTTAGGAACTTTAAGAACGAGAGAAGCGAAGAAAAGCCTTTGGCTAATAATGGAATTTCGACAGGAAATTGATTCAAGATATTCTTTAGCAATTTGTTTAGTTTTTATATATTTTTTTTCCCCCCTTTTTTCACAACATTTGCGTTTCAAACATTTTTTTGGAGTGGTGGAGGGGCTGTGGAAATTTACATAAATCAACTCTGAAGCCAGTTCTGGCTATCTTTTCTACACTTTTTCCCTGGCTCTCTCGGACTCCCTCTCTAGTGCACGTTTTGTTAGCCAATTTTCAATGTTGGCTTCTGGCTTGCCCGCCCGGTCCGGCCACAGCAAACAACACTGACCATAAATAATCAAATCTTATACACAATCTGCAAACAGATTTTGCGTTTCTAATAAATTTCACTTTGCACGCAAACACACACAAAACAAAAAATAAGAGAGAAAAACTCCTACCAGCAAGCTGGAGGGAGTGGCCAGCAAAGGCAAACACTTTTTGTGCGTTCCACCAGACAACAGCCAAATAAATAAATATGTATAAAATTTATATTTATGCGATGGTTGTACAGAAAATATGTATGGAAGATGTCCTGCATATACTGTATATGCATATTAGAGTACACAGAGAAACAAAAATACTGTGGGATTAATTATATTTGGAGTATTTTTTAAAAGAGAATGTGCATTGGATACTTGGAAAATAGAATAGAATATTTTCAAAATACAATTTATCGCTTATATATCCTTTGTTTTCTCCTAGTGTACGATCTTATATACATATAGTATTTATCTTTTGTCTGTGCTTGGAGCTCATATTGGAAATCTTGATGGTGCAGAAAACTATATAGCATGAGAGCGACAACAAATTATGGTTCAGTGGGTTTTCTAAACGCTTTTTTGGTTCCACTCTCCCCACTCCTGCACCATTTTGTTCGGTTCAGTGTGTCCTTTGCTGTCAAGGACGAGACGAGGCACCCCCCACCCCACTTGTTCCATATTTATTTGGTGTGAAAATGTGGTTAGAAGTCAATAACATAATAAAAACGTTGCCGTTGAAGGTCGCCGCGCCTGAAGAATGGGGCCTGAGATAGACACATGCGACGACGGACCGAACGACCGACCGACCGACCACAGGACGGACCATACTACACAAAAGATAGAGATACAAACGGGGGTGGGGTAGATAAATTTATGAAAATTGTCTGTGCCTGGAGGCGCTGGTGTGGGCTTTGGGCTTTTGCCGAAATTGTTATTGAGAAAACCGAGACCGAGATTCGGATTGGGGATTGAGGTTAAGGGAGTTTAAAGGGAGTGTTTTCCCGCGCAGCGCGCCCTCTGGTGGTGAACAATGCGCGAAAAAAACTTTCATTGCATAACAATAGGCGCAATGGCAAACCGCAAGCAGCATTTAAATGTAAATACCTGCAGCCCACAGGCCAGAAAAACTTTTCTGCGTTTTCTGGCCATATAATGAAAGTCCAGGCACAGGCATTCCACCACCACTGGTCGCTGGTCGCTAGTCTGATTCGCTCCCTTCCCTTTTTCCGCTGTGTCCTGGCGCCCCTCTGGGCAAGTGGCTCGTGGTCGTTGGCACGTGAAAGAAAAAGTGCAGGTGGCTTTGGTCACCCATTCTCTCTCTCTCTCTTCCCCTTTTGCACAAAACAGAACAGAATAAATAAACTTCAACTTTTTGCTGGCCACAATTTCTATTTTCTCTTTTTTTTATTTTTTTTTTTATTTATATTTTATATTTTCAGTACTGCGTTCCATTTTGGCAGACGAGAAAAATATCTAAAATTGCGGCAGTGCGAGTGCGAGAGCGTAAAACAACAATAACGAATCGCACACAGAAATGGGCCAAAGAGAAAGAAAGAGAAATTGAAATAAAAGCTGGTAGAAAAAATTTCGCTTTTTATTCGTTATTCGTAATTTTATAACCATACATATATATTTTTTTATGTATATTTATTTGTATTATTTCCAGAAGGCAAGTGGGTGGAAAAATGTTGTTAAGCTTTAAAATGCTGGCGGTCTCAAGATGTGAGAGTAATTGAGAACAAATAAATACAAGTGGCAGAAGGGGGGCGAATAAAAGTAGAAAAAGTGTGCGAAAGACGAAGACGACAGAGTGTCGGCATAGAGATAAAAGAAAGCAGAGTCAGACGAATTATATGTATAGGGAATATACCAAAGAAATGTGTGAAAATGAGGCATGAAAAATGAGAATTAATGAAAGAGAAAACAAACAAAAAAAATATAGAAAATAAATCAATACAAACATCAAGAAGAAATATTTAAATGTTGTGCTTAAAGAAAGGCAAACAAAATAAATCGAAGTAAAAGCTTAAATGTCCTTGCTGAAGGGAAATAGTTTATTGGGTGTAGAAATTTAAGAGACATTTAACAGAAAGAATCTGAATCGAAGTGAAGCATATCAATCGATGTACATATATCCCAATCGTCATCCATTTGTCGCCATTTTCTGACAGCTGAGGTCTGCGCTGCCACTGGCTGTCATTCAACGTCATTCAGGGAATGACAAAAACGATAATGACATTCAGAGTTTTCCCCGTTATTCAAGCCTTGCGTGATGGTATTCTTAAGCTTTCGAATTTCAAGTCGTACAATTCGACACTGAGTTTTATGGAAACAGCCTATAAATCTTTTCGACCATTCGTTTCTATTTAATCCAAAATATATGACATATTCAAACACCTTGAAAATGTTATTGCTGACTTTAAGTGACATTTCCTGGAATCAGATACGAGTATCTCCCGTCTTATTGCTTTTCTTAGTTGCTGTTCTATCAGCTTAAGTAGAGCAGCTGCTGAGAGAGCCACAGCCACATTTGCATGTTGGCTCCCCACCGGTCTGGTTTATCCACTTCTCGCTGCTTTCTGCTTAACACACTCTACTCTGCCTTTGATGTCCCACTTTCCACTGATAAGGTTTTAAAATTTGCTTGCCATTTGCTTCAACCCACCTCCCCACACACACACACAAACACAAACAGATACAAATACGAGCATGGGCCTGCTGCTGCTCAATTTCATTTTTACGCTCACCAATTTCTGTTCTGTTCGGTGTTTTTTTTTTTTTTTTTTGCCACTTTTCATTTTCTGTTTTTCCTGTACATTTTGCTGGAAAACATTTGCCAGTTGTTTTTCGCATTTCTCTTTTGTTTTGTTTTTTTTTTCTTTTTTTGTATATACTTTCTCTTCGTGTTTATAGTTTGTCTCTCTGTCACTCTTTATATGATGTTTATGCCATCTCTTTCGGATGATGATGCTGACATAAATCTTTGATATATTGCCTTGCAGCTGCTGGACCAATAAATCCTGGGCCTCTGTCCTCTGTCGCCTGTCACTTGGGTTCCCATTCATTCATTCATTCTGCTTTCGAAATCCTTTCACTTTTTTTAAAGCTCAAAAATCAAATCAAATTCTTGATGTCCGCCCACTTTTTTTGGGCACGAACCCCGAACCCCGAACACGCCCCATTGTACAAAAGTCATTATAGAACAAGTGTTGGCCGCTCTCCCAGCGGACACTTGAGCATAATTAATGTGCTGCCACGCCCCGCGCCAAACAGGATGTGGCAACCGGAACAGATCGTTCGGCCCCTCCTGCCACTCTCTCTCTCTCTCCATAGAGCCCCTACAACCACTCAAATGAGACTCGACGCAATTGTCGCTCCCAAATTAATTTGTATAATTTTACAGTCGCAATTGGATGGGACTCGGGAGTAGGTAGGGGAGGGAGGGCAGTCCACACAGCGGTGGCCAGCGAGACTTATTCCCACGAGGCAGGCGCGAAACCCCGTGGCATTCAAATGAAGTTTCGGTGGCGGCGAAAAGTAGGCAATTATTTTTTAGGCCAAGAAATGGATGAGACATGCCAAAAAGAAAAAAGAAAAACACAGCAAGATGGAGGCTAAAGAATAAGAAAAACAAAATAAAAAAGAACGAAAAAGAAAATGTGAAGCGGAAAAACCATGGAAATGAGTTTAAGGTACGATTGCTACCCCCCACTCCCCCTGCCATGAATCACTCTGGAAAAAAGGCAACTAAAATAAGGTTAAATATAAAGTACAATAAAAAAATAAAAAATAAATTAATAAAAATAAAAAATAAATAAAATTTCTAAAATATAAATCCAGATGGATGCAAGCAATCTTCTTTTTACTTTAGAAATTTTCTCAGTGTACGATGAGAAACACCAATGAGAAATGTGGCCTCTAGAGATATTTCTGCAAGAACTTGCCCACCCGCCAGCCACCTAATTAGTGGCCATCCATAGCATCCGCCAACAACTTTCAACATGCCTTCGCTTGGCCACTCTCAACATGATTAATATTTAATGGGAAATCCCATCCCATTCCATTCCATTCCGCTCTCGACAAGGAGACCCTATCTATCGATGCTGCTATCAAATGCAATCAAGATGTAAATGCAACTACTTTCCAGATGCCATGCGCTGCAGCGCGCTGGTGCGCTGGTGTGCGAGGGGTAGTACCCCCCATCGATGTTGCAACACTTGATTGACTTTCACAGCACATTTATTTTGAAACCTTCAAGCTGCCGTTGCCCGCAAAGCCAACTTTTCAACGACTTGGCTCAACTTTAAACTGCAGGCAA